TTATTTCGTGTAACAAATATGTTGTTTTTCGATGTGTTACAGATAAATCTACAGGGGATAAGGTGACAGCATTTGACGTAAGTAAAAACCATACTTTTCCTCGATATTGATATTGACATTCGCACACACTGACTCACTAAATGACGAACGAACGAAGAGAGAAAGAGGTGCGTAATAGCTAATAAATAGCTAATAAAGCTTTACGTAGGCATAGCTATCGAAATTATCCGGGCGGCTCGTTGCCTATCGTTCTTCCGTTCCAGCCACTTATTTAATGACGGTTAAACGCAAAGTAATTATCTACATTTTCGTATGCAAATTGTAGTGCAAATTATCGTGCCAGGCATGAAAATTTACATCATATAAAAATAATACTACGTCCTTCTGCTACATGCATCGTCCTCTCTAATGTATCCTCTCGATGTTTAGATATGTCGAGCATACTCGTCATGAAAAGATGGCTTTTTTTTCTTTTTTTTTTTTTTTTTTTTTGTTTAACGTAACTCGTCATGTAGCAAAGAAAATTTGCATTTGCTATTAAAATAAAATTTAGGTGAGACAAAAAAACGTAATCGTAATTTTAACACATTTTAGAATTTACGTTGGGACAAAGAAAAATTGTAATTGTATTTAATTTTTGAATGAAATAATACAATTTTATAAATGATGGTTTAAAAAGACGACTAGAAAATTTTGTCGTTTTATTATAATTTACAACATCATTGCTTTTGTGGTGCAGCTTAAAAACAATTAAGCACATACCCAAAATGAAATAAAACACTTAAAGAGGGTTAAAATAATATATTTTTCATGATATATTCTAAATTCTTCGTGTTTTTTTTTTCATCTTTAATTAAACAATGACTAGTAAAAATATAATGGTCGTATAACGTGTGCATATGTTCAAACGCTCGATTCCCGTGCAATTTAATTTTTTAAGAAGAAAAGAAACGTTACCAGACACGGAACTATGCTTCCTAGATGCAGGTGAATGTTATATAAGAAAAATCCTCGTTATCTCTTCGCTGTTCCCTGCATTTTTCACACATTTATTCCATTCGAACGCATATCGTTCCACTCGACATGTCAATTTTACCGCCGTGTACAACGTGCACGTCTCTCTCAACTATCGATCAATACAAGAGCCTTCGATTCTTTTCGATTATACAACCTCTACAAACCATTCATCGTTTTTGTCCCATCCACGTTCGACGTTTCGTTTGTCAAGATTCTATTTTCGCGCCAGCACGTGTTAATCGACTTTCCTCGTCCGATGCGTATCGCGTAGACGATGATTGATAAAGGAGATAGACACTACTCGTTGATCCAATCAATTAATCGTTGTTTCATTGAGATTTTCTCGGAAGAAAGAAAGAAACACACACACACGCCGGAACAATTCTGCCAATTGAAAACACCGATTCGAAATGGCAACGTTGTGAGCAAGACGTTCGAGTTTAGCTTGCAACGAGATGCATTATGCCACCGGTCTCTAGAGACAAGAATAGTTGTGTAATTATTCATTCGAATGACTCATGCCCGTGTATTTCTTCTTTGGTCCTCTCGTGCTTTGGTGAACAGTGAACGTTCG